AACATGGCACAGCGAAATGCCGATCCTTTCGGGCAGTACAACGATAGAAATGGTTAGTACCATTGCCTCGCATGCTATGCTTCGCGTTCATCGCTAACGCATCTTCAACTATCACAGTCTCCACTCAACTCTGAACACATCTTCAACTCTCATTTCTCACGCTCTCAACTCTCACAAAAACTTGACCGGTCAGTTGACAAAGAAAGCGCGCTTTCCAGAGCTCCTGCGAAGCTAAGTGATTTTGGGTACCCTATTTTCCGCATCGTTGTATTAAGACGCACCCCCCCACTTTTCGCAAGTTTCTCGGTAAAAAATAGTATACGAGACGCACCTGTGTATCAGACGCGCCTATATTCATCCACTTGCCTCGAAGAAACTTCATAACGTGTGCTTGCGCAAATATCGTGAAATGTCATACTTACCGGTCCGTGCCTTAAAAACTCGCAAAGCGACGTTTCTTTTTTTTTATGGAAAATAGTTTTTTTAGTTGGCAAATAGCGAGCGCTCGGCGCGCTCTCACGTTTCACCTTATGTTGTTCCGCAGCGAGCCGCTGAAATGTGCCCTAGAGCAAGGAGCTCGCGCTTGTAGCCTTTCCTGCGGTACATTATAAGTAGGGCTCCGTGTTTTCGGATAAATTCGAAAAACTCCGGAAAACACCCGCCGGTAAAATTTGTGTCAATTCGGATTTATCCGATAAACTCCGAATATTTATATGTCAATGCCATTCCCCCCCCCCCCCCCCCCCCCCCCCCCGCAGGCAAAAAAAAAAAACAGTAGGATACTTTTTTTTTTTTTTTTTTTTTACAGTTTGATCAGCACAGAGCCAATGATCCTGGGAAAATTCCACCATAACTATCTTTCAAATCTCGGACCGTTGTCGAAAGGGGTTTTGCCGCTTGTCTCTTCAAGGTTGATTCAAAGCAACAGGTCGTTCGTTGTACATTCGGATCACGACAAAAGCCACTCTTTTGGTTTCCAGTTTGGGCCATGCGATTTGCGATTTGGAGAAAGGAAATGGTGTGTTTCAGTAACAGTGAAAACTATGAACCATAGGGATTGTATAAAATCGGGAAGAGAGGGGCAGTTCAAACTCTCTATTACCTCCTTAACCACTCCACCTCGCGCGGCCGCGGGCTGGATTGATGGAATAGGATGAGATGACTACGAGCTTCCTAGCGAGTAGCGACTACCTCCGGGAGTTTATTGAGTTTAAGGTATCGGCGTTTATCAAAGCGCCACTTGTGCGTGACTTTTGTCGTGGATAAATTAGTATTGCCAATGGCAATGGCACCAAAACGCCAAATTCAACTGAAGCTATTTCAATTGATACAAGCGCGTTTTATTTTTTATCTGGCATACGTTTACATTCGGTTATTATTTATTTATTTATTTTTAATAGGAAACACAGTGAAATTAAACACCGAATTTCGGAGAATTGGAAATAAAAAATATAAAAACTCCGATAAACTCCGAATCTCCGGAAAAAAATAAACTCCGAAAAACACCCTCCGATTTTGACGAAAAATAAACTCCGAAAACACGGAGCCCTAATTATAAGTAGGGTTCCGTGTTTTCGGATAAATCTGAAAAACTCCGAAAAACACCCGCAGGTAAAATTTTGGTCCATTCGGATTTATTCGATAAACTCCGAAATCCAATGTGCCAAACTCTTTCTCTCTCCCGCCTTCACCCCCCCCCCCCCCCCCCCCACACACACACACACACGAAAGTATTTTACAACTAATGGTTTCGATCAGCGCGTAGAGTCAATGGTCCTGGGAAAAATGACACCACTTTTGTTTTAAATTTCGGTCACGACAACAGGTCATTGTACTTTCGGGTCACGACAAAAGTCACTGTTTATGTCACGTTTGTGTCATACTATTTGTGCTTTAGATGAAGGAGAGGTTGTGTTTTTGTAACATTGGAAAGCTATGGACCATAGAGATTGCATAAAGTGGGGAAGAGGGACAGTTGAAACTTCTCTATTACATACTTTGCCACTCTGCCTCGCGCGGTAGGTTGATGGAATAGTATGAAATGAACACAAGCTTCCCAGCGACTATCTCCAGGTGTTTATTGATTTTAAGGCATCGACATTTATGGAAGCAACACTTGTGTCCAACTTTTGTTGTAGGACAAATTAGTATTGCCTGTAATATAATGGCACAAACGCCGAATGCAACTGAAGAAAATATTAATGGATACAATCGTGTTTTTCTTTTTGTCCAGCAGACGTTTACACCGGGATATGATTTATTTATATTTAATAACAGACACTGCGGAATTCAACTCCGTATTTTGGAAAATCGGGAATTAAACAAAAAATAAACTCCGAAAAGCGCCCTCCGAATTTGACGAAAATTAAGCTCCGAAAACACGGAACTCTAATTATAAGGCAGTTCCCCTCTCGAGATGCGAGCAACCTCTCCGTGTGGCGCTTGTAGATCTGGAGCCAGATCGAGTCGGTACACTCTTTGGCAGGGAAAGAACACAAGCAGAAAATCGTAGATGAGATGAGGGATGCAAATGTACCTAAACAGTGTACAATTCTAATTCGAACTTTTTTTTTTTTTTTTTTTTGTCAAGTTAGACAAGTGCTGTCTTCACCGTGTGTTTATCAACCCCGGCGGACATTAGATGAGGGGATAACCGTTAAAGAAAATCTGTTAATTAACTTGAACTGTTGGTTTTGCATTCAAGGCAATTACTATTGAAGGCAGTATCAACATAAACAAAATTTGCAAACATGTTTTTTTATGTCATTTTTATGTTCACAGACGCCGGTTTGATGCTACGGTGACCTCGAGCGCATGTCGGGTCTGCGGAGGCTACGATGAAACGGTGGAGCACGTTGTGCTAGATTGTGCGGGACTTCAGCCGTCCCGGTGCCCACGCCTGCAGAGCCCCTTAGTGCTCGCTGAGGCGTTGGGCTTCACAATTACTGAAATCGGGCGCAACCAAACAGACTACTCTGATGGACAAAACTCTGCAGCTACGCAGATAAAGGGGCCTTCTAGCGGCTGGCACAAGCTTGTAGTAGCCACTAAACGAAGACTTGAAGATTGGTGGAATAAGATCCACCTGACCACCTCAGGGGGCATTAAGACCTCCTCGCTCCCAGGGATCGGCACGAACTTAGTTCGCGCTCGCCCGTTTCAAAGGGAACAAGCCGCATCATCATCATCATCATCATCATCGTAATTGAGTTGTAGATATTAATCAATTTCCGGCGTTTTTTCGCCCGATTAAGAATTGCCCAATAGAAGTGCCGCAAGCCCTGCGCACTCAACGTTGACATTGCCGAGATCATGACGACATTAGTGAGACGACTATGTCACTCTTCCGAGCTTGCAGTGCTCTTCAGCGCAGTTGTTAAATCAAAAGGGAAATTTGATTGATTCATATCTCAATAGCCCATTACCTTTACTAAATTATTTTTTTAATTGTACTGGACATAGGCGTAGACTTCGGAGGGGGGGGCATCGGGGCTTGTGCCCCCCTCTGGTGAGATCCAAGTTGACAAAATACATGGGAAATAAAATCTCAGCGTGCTTTCGTTAGCTTCTAATAGCTTCAATCTCCAGTTCAGGCGAAAAGGTAACGCGCAGCACCCCCTTCCCCCCCCCCCCCTCCCCCTCCCTCCTCCTCCTCCGGGAAAATGGAAAGTCTACGCCGCTGGTACTGGATCATTAGTAAAATAGCGCAAAACAACAAGGAAGAAAGGACGAGATAAACAGGAAGGGCGCTAATTTTTCCTTTCTTCCTTGTTTGTTTTGCGCTATTTTACTAATGATGAACGACCAACTAGCCCGCCAGCTCACCTTATTGCTGGTACTGGAACTTATTATAATTCTGTCAATACTGCAATTCCGACAGTAACCCTAAAACAAAACATTTAAGTTATTTTAAGGGCAACTATGGTCAATATATATATTGTCTTCCTGACGAAGGCCGGACTCCGGCCGAAACGTCGAAGAATAAATCGTCCGTTGTTGCTGTTTTCACTAAGGGGTTCTTTCTCATATATATATATATATATATATATATATATATATATATATATATATATATATATATACATACATACAGGATGTCACAAAAGAAAATTTACACGGTCTTTTTTACCGCAAAAATAAACTAGGCATCGCCGAACGCTCATTTTCCGACCAAAGGTAGAGCTATAGGTCACAACCAGATGCCAAAGTTTCAGCCCCATCCGATAAGTTAATCAAACGTTATTAGTGATTTTCTGAAAATCTCAATGGTAAAATGGAGCCCAATTTTGCCCGTTTTCGGTTTCTGGTGCCATAGAGCCCCATGTGTTTGAAACTCCGTCGGCCGCCATTTTCCCATTGAAATTTTCAGAAAATCACTTATAACTTTTGATTAAGTTATCGGATCGGGCTGAAACTTTGGCATCTGGTTGTGACCTATAGCTCTACCTTTGGTCGGAAAATGAGCGTTCGGCGATGCCTAGTTTATTTTTGCGGTAAAAAAGACCGTGTAAATTTTCTTTTGTGACACCTTGTATATATATATATACATATATATATGGGATTACGACTGGTTTTAGCTGAAGCAGTTTTCCTGGATTACATGGTATAATCTGCCTGAACGATAGGCTCCGAGAACATAATCTTAACGTCAACAACTACCGGAATGGCCGCCATATATCAGTGCATTGTCAGGACTGCGGAAGCAGACCGTTGTTTGGCAAATGCTCAATACTGGCCAAACATAAAAACAGAAATAGTCGAAGCGGACGAGATAAAGAGAGGTGGTGTAGGTTGTGTTAGCGTTGCGTCCATTAACCTGTTTGATAAGGAGTTGCTGTTCATGCGAGCGGCGGCTAGGTCTGGGATGGGACTAGAGCGTGCATATATGGTACATTTACACGTTGATTAAACAGTTGCAGTCAGCGCTCGTGTGTGCCTTGTCTCTTCTTCGTCCTCGTCTAAAAGCGCTACCATGACCGAGACATCCCAATACCAACTAGCCCAGCATTCAGCATTCTTAAGTAGTGGAATATATATATATATTTGTCAGGGTGTGGACGTTTTAATTTTAAAGCATATTTTTGGCTCTCTTGTCCTACCTGCCGGTGTCAGCTAAATAACCTTTGTGCGCGCCTCCCGGTATTGTGACAGCCCCCAGACAATTTTCACGATGTCGCCAGCTCCCGCAAAGTTTGTACCGAGGTCCGAAAGCGTGCATACAACGAAATGAAACAACATCTCGGCCTTTCTAAGATCGGTGATCCTTCTCTGGTCGCAGCAAACAGTAACAGCGAAGCCGATGCCCTCTTCGGAGGGTAAGTACGCCTCACGGGACCTTCCTGCCTCCCGTTCTTGGCGGAGCTCCCAGTGAACGCGTTGAATGCAGCGGCTGCTGTTCTTTCAGCCTGTTCCCCAACTCTGCCTTCCAAGCGCTGCCCACGTCGCTGGAGAGCGAGGAGTACAACATGGAGCACACGCGCAGGGGAAAGTGCGTCATCTTCAACAACAGGGTACGGACCCAATTCGGTACGAACGCGCTGCCGGATATGGGGGCGCGTTATCGAACGCGGTTCGGTGTCCCGGAGCGAAAGCATAATTCCGCTGCTTCGATTGCGAGGTTCCATGGGCTCTCAGTCCAACTTGATTTCCCCACAGCTCAGTGTTTTACCCAGCACAAGGCACATGAACTTGACTCTTTACGATCTTCCTGGATAGAGCGCGGGCACAGTGTAACTAAAAATGTGCCGAGAAAACATCACAGACGTCCATCTGGGAAACGCTAACACTGACCCCTTCACTTTTCTGTTTGGCTTTCTCTTTTGCTTCCTTCCTTTTTTGCTGCCACTTTTTGGCTTTGTTACGGAATCAGTGTTAGTGTTTCCGATGGATCATGCTAATCATTCCCCAAGGATCCACCAATACCGTGGCTCCCAAATGGGGGTCCGCGAAGGCGTTCTATGGGCCCGCGAAGCCCAGCCTCATCTGTCAAGCCCGGCAATAAAAGCTGTTTTTTCTCAAACTGAGAAGAAATGTGCGAAACATCAATGGTTGAGAACCACTGCGTGATCTATGGATCATTCTTTAATTTTTTCCGGCTTCTGTCGCACGCAGACCCGCGTCGGCTTGTCAGTTCTTGCGCCGCATTTGGACCAGCCGTCGGAAACAGGTGAAGAACGAAGTGGAAGCTCCTCCCACCTCTTCCCACTTTAGCAGAGTCGAGTGACCCCTATCAGCGAGAAATTTCTGCCACCCGCCTGAGCTGTGGAAACCCGGTCAGCGTGACTCGCCACCTGCATCGTGCATTCGGAGTTCACCGGCTTTTCATGGAAGTTTTTACTTTATTTGCCTGTTTAGTATGCTTACTCTTTGTGTGCTATCTTCCACTGTGAGAACCAGGGAATACCAGGGCATACCAGCGCTTGTAGCCTGCTCGGCCTTCGCAGGAAACGGACGAAGAGAGCGAACATCAAGCAGCCCGCGACGCGGGCAGTTCGAGGTTCTTGGAGGATTATTCCCGTTGATATAATCTCCAAAAAGCCTTTCCGGCTATGTTCCGGGTCTTCGCGAAAAATAGCTGATAGACTCGGGTCCGGGGTGTGGGGACGGAATAGACACGTTCGTTCATTTGCTTTGAAACTGCGCAAAAAACAAAAAACAAAAAAAAAAAACAGTTTTTTTTTATTTGTGTTCCAAAACACGCCAGATTCCGTCCAATCGTCGTGAAGTGACTATCGTCGAAACTGTAAATTGGATACGCTGTGTTATTTGAGACCTTTCTCATATCCTGTTCTGATATAACGCGGCACCGTGGGGTAAGTGCAATATATGTTGTTCGATTGATGAGACTCGTTGAACTTCATGTTGTGGGCGGGGAATATCCATGCAGTTCGCATATCCTGTGTGGTCAAATATTTTTGACGATTAAAGCGCGCGACACATGGACGGCAGAATCGTTCGATCCGACGTCCGATCCGACAGTCCGAACGCCGCTCCGAATCGCCGCACGCGACAGTTTGAGACACACGCTTCCGACCTTGCATGCGACACGACGATCCGTTCTGCTCCGCCCAGGAGATCCAAGCACTCCAGCGGAGGTCCGCGTTCACAGATCTCTGGTCCCAGATTGACGGTTTAGCTCACACGAGCGAAGTTAGAAGCTCGTTCTTTTTAGCGCGTGCATTCTTTGCCGGGGCCATATTTCTAGAATGGGTCAGCGGGATCCAATTCCACGCGTCCGACTTCCCGTCGCCCGTCCCGTTTTCTTGTTCGTGCCGACAGACCCAGTACGTCATCATGACGTTCGCGCTAGCTGTGCTGTCATTGGCTGGACGCATCCGACAATCCGTCCGCCGTGCGAAACTATCTGGCGCGTTGGACGCATGTCGGATCGCCGATCCAACGTCTGAAGCGACCAAATTTTTCGGATCAGGCAGTCGTACTGCCGGATCGGACGTCGGATCGGATGGATTTTCGCGCATGTGTCTCGCGCTTAAGACCTTTGTAGATTGACACGGCTGAGTGTATGGTGCCGTAAAAAGATCAACAATAAATGAATAAAACATTCAAGTTGCATTTGTTCTGTCGCGCACGGAGTCACCAAAACAGCTTTGCTTTTTTTGCTGTTGTCTCCAAAAATAGTAGTATGCATTCTTAAAAACCCCGAGAAATTATATTCGTCATAGAACAGACAATAAAAAAAATAGAACGCGGCAATTTCGCCTCCATCAGCGTCCGGAAGTGAGCCTTCGTAGGCTGCCACAGCTCACTGACTAGAAAACCCACAGCCCAGCGCAGTCGGGCAACACTGCCATACCCTCTCAAAACCAGAGACGCGCGCTGTAAATCTCTTCGTTCGAGGCTACCGCTGGAAAGGTCTATGGACCTTTTCTGTGTAGTCTTGTTCCCAGCCACCTACCACCTTGTCCCAATCCTGGACTGTGCTTGTATTCTTTGGCACCCACACACGCAAACACGTATAAATCAAATTGAAAGAATTCAAAACCACGCCGCTAGATATGTGCTAAATAACTATAATTTTTATGAGTGTCTCTTAATTAAAGCTTCAACTCGGATGGAAACCTTTACAACTACGACGAAAGTGCCTCCGTCTCAAGTTTATGTATAATCTTTATCACGGTAGCGTCGGTATAGATAAGTCGAGATACCTATTGGAACCCCATTACGTTTCCCTTAGAACTAGTAATCAGAAAAAGATCCGAAAATTTCGCGCACGGACCGATGTTCTAAAATATTCCTTTTTTTTCCGCGGATAGTTAATGACTGGAATGTGCTGCCCGACTCACTTGTCGAGCTTCCTACTGTACAATCATTTTTTGATGAAATTATGTTATTGTAGTCGGTTCGATGTGTGACTTCTGCACGTTGTTAATCATTTTTTGTTTCATATTATTGCAGTATATATTGGCACGTTTCTCCTGTTTGACATGGTTATTTTGCTCTTATTCATTTTCTTATATTATTGCAGTATATATGTTTCTCCTGCTTGGGCCTTGTTATTAGATGTTGCTGTTCTGCTGCACGTTTGCTTTTGTAAATTTATTTCGTCCCCCCCCCCCCCCCCTACTGTAATGCCCATCGGGCGATGTAGGTACCAAATAAATAAATAAATAAATAGGCGTATCCGGTATGGGCGGCGAAAAAATAATCCAACGTTTCAACCTACAAATAGTAAAAAAAAAAAATAAAGGGGAGGCAAAACGAGAAAGTGTGACGGTTACGCTTATATCCCAAATGCCTTCTATTGGCGTGGCAAAGGCAAAACAATGTTTTCGCCCATACTGGAAGTGACGACAACTGAAAGTGACGTCAAGCGGTGCTGCAAGTTCAGACTCGCCCCAGCATCCACGCGATCCAAACCGACGCGTTTTTGCGCTCCGTAAGTCGTGCGCTTCCCGGAAATGGCGTATTTCGTGACGTCGCGCTGATTCCTTCAGCCTTTCGGGCGCAAGGAAGTTGGATGATTTCAACTTTTTCTGAACGCGCACGAACACACGCTGTGACGTAGTTGGGCGCTCTTCTCACGGCCCAACTAGAGTTCCAGTATAGGTTCCCTACGGGAGCCAGAGTTGCGCGTTCTAGAGTTCCTGTATATAGCTACGTACGGTAGCAGAGTTGCGCATTCAGCCTCGGCGGGTAGCCGTAGCGCCGGCTGTAGTGTCGGCTTTCCCACACGCCCTGGATGCTTTGCTCCTCACGTGACTAAATTTGGCGAATAGCGGCTCCGCGCAAGCCGCCGCGCATGGAAAGCAGGAGGGGAGGAAAAGGAGGCGGAAAGCAGGGGAACATACGCCGGGGCGCGAGAAACGTCGGCGGAGCGACCGCAAGACCGAAAGAGACCGGTTTTCAAGCCCCTTGCGATCTCTTAGGACCAGTTCCGCGCTGCAGCTCCTAAGAAGTCGCAAAAGGCTTAAAAACCAGTCTGAAGAGTGTGAACGGTGCCTAAAGGTGGCGCACGGGCCGGATGCTTTGCTCCTCACGTGATCGGTCTCGGCGAATAGCGGCGTGGCCGGCGCGGGGAAAACGCAACTCTGCTGCCCCTTCGGGGGAGCATGTCGAGGAACTCTAGCGCGCTAATCTCCGTAGCGCCGTCTTTCCTGTACGGCATGTTGACCCCGCTCGTCACGTGACTGAATTCGGCGGATAGCGGCGCCGCGCCCAAAAGCAGAGGAATGTACGCCGGGGCGCGTGCAACGTCTACTTTCCTGCACGGCACTTGATCCGACTCCCCACGTGATCGCGCAAATATGACTCTAGGCCCAACGGTGGAGGGCACCGTTGGGTTTTTAGGTCGAAATTTCGCGGTTCGACTGGTTCGAACGGGTTCGACGAACCTTCGACCTTTTAACCGGATTTGATCGGTTCGATTTTGTAGACAGTGTGGCCAGAGACCTTGATACAAGCATGTATAAGTTTGGATAATTATTTTCTTATGCAAAGGGTATTTTCATTTTTTGACCAGTTGCAATTAAAAGAAACTAATTCTAAACACCGAAGAGGTTAATAATTTAATTTTTCTGTACTGTATTAACTGAAATAACCAATCAGTGCTGCCCTTAATTCATTCCTTAGCCATCACCATCCAATCCGAAGCCAACTGGTCAGCCTGTCGCGCATGCGCATAGTAGTCGAACCTGTGTCGAACCTTCGTCTAACGTTTCACAAGAAGTTTGGAAAAGTCGAACCTGGTCGAACTCGAACCTCGACCGGTTCGAGACTTACTTACGATGACGATCTTTTATGTCTCACGCACATAAAAGATCATTTGTTGGTCCTGAATGTACAGGTTTCCCACTCATTTTAATCCAAACGACTATCAATTTAATCCGAGTGTCATCCTGTTTAATTCAGGCGCCATCCAATTTAATCCCAGTGCTACCCAATTTAGTCCCGGCATCAGTCAATTTGATCCACTATATATCCAGGTGCTTATTTGTCTTCAGTGGTTGCGTTCGTTTCGCTTACACTTTTGATAACTAGAGTAATTTTTTAT